CAAAACCCCAAAACCCCAAAACCCCAAAACCCCAAAACCCCAAAACCCCGTTGTGTCTAAATTAGAAATTATAGAGAATAAGAAAATTAATAGGGTAGATATAAATTATATAAATCTTGATTTCAAATAAAGTAAATATCTTAAGTGGAGTGAATCCAATATTTAAGTAGTCTAAATAAATTCTCTAATTATTTAAGTCTTAAGAATAGAAGCCTATTTATATCAATAGACTCTATTTTATAGCTTTCATCTGTTTTTCTTCATCTGCTTGACCTCCAAGAATTCCAAAAACTTTACTAAGGGAATTGGGAACCATTGAACAGGTTTTAGTCCTCCAGTGAAAGATCCACAATGGCCACCTCTCTAGGTAAAACCACCAAGGACATTCTAATTTTTCTTGAATTCATCGTGAGGGTATAGATCTGGCTTGATGCAAGGGTCGTCGTAGCAGTTCAAGAAAAACACAGGAATCTTAATGCCCTGAATCTTACCGACTGTTTAGGAATTATCATAGTACTCATCAAGGTTCTTATATTTGAAAGAAGGAATCATTACATTGGCATCAATATCCATAAGACTATATTTATTTTGCAAAACTCTGTCGCAATACACTTCATAGTCACCTTGAGGCATTACCTTCTTAAAGTCATCGAACTTGCCTTTCAATATCAAGTGATAGTTAAAGCCCATCATGAAGTCATAGAATTTGAAGAAATTCTTTCTAAAGAAGGAAACATTGTCTCTGAGGTTGAAAGGAATTACATAAAGAGCAGCACCACTGAGTGGAGTGTTCTTACCAACTTTAGTCAAATATAGAGTGACAAGACTTCCACCAAGGCTTACAGAGTAGGAGTACATATTTCTCACCTTTCTGCCAGAATCATCACAGGCATACTATTCATAGATATAGTCTAGAGGTTCTTGAATATCTTCCCATGTGTTTAACCAATAGAGTTTGGGTGACGTCATGGCCACTCCTGCAGCTCCTCTGAAATTTACCACAACGCATTTGTATCCTTGTCCACTTCCGTCCTTGTTCTTATATGAGTTCACAGCCTCCCTGATCATAGACTGCAGGTAAAGATTATCGTTTCCTCCCGCCAGACCAGAAAACATACAAAGGATAGGTCTAGTGTGTCCTTTCTTTGGGATTCCTCCTTCGTGATCAACAACCCAGTCTAGAGCAATTGTGCCGCCATCAGAAAGAGTGAACATCTCCCTCTCGAATTTGATCTGATTAACCATCTTGGCAAAAATCTCAGTCCACATATAGATGAATGACTGCATATTCCCAGTAAGCGCTAAGAAATATGGAGTGTATGTGAGTTCCTTGATCTGTGACTTCTGAATAAATTCTCACATTATTGAGCTTGACTTGTTATAGTGCAGCTCAATTTTTTCCCTCTGATAGAGACTTATAATTCTAAAAGTGACAACCAAAGCAAAGAAGAACATGGTGTAGGAGTTGTCGTTGAAGGTCTGTTCATCAAAGAGACTCTTAAATGAACCGAGCATGTTTTGAATTTGTGTGCTTATCATCCTTTTATAGAAGTTCCCTAATGATCAGCAAATTGAACTTATTTTATATTTATTATTTCTTAATAATAGAACAATGTTTCATAAATTACGATGTTTTAATTTACTCTTTTAAATGAGCCCAATAACTGAAATGAGTCTGTTTGAATTGCGGGGTTTTGGGGTTTTGGGGTTTTGGGG